CATCTCAGATTCTGAGGTATTTTCAACCCTTGACAGAGAGGGAGAACCCATGGGTTCAGAAAGGCAGTCAAGGAGCTGGGTGTGTTTTGCTCCTGCACCCTTTGTGAGTTTGCAGCTTTCATATGATCTCCCTGCTTGTACAGGACCATCACAGCCATCAGAACTTTATACATCACTGGACCTGACCTTGTGTCAACCATGCCTCTTACCCATACAGGGCCATTCCCATGGTTCCTACACCAAACTTCATCCCTTGAAATAAACTGGGTCTCTCGTTTAGCAGAGTCTTGTGTCCAGCATTCGTGTTCCTGATGCCATTTCATCCTGTCCTCCGGGTCCAGGAGGATCAGGTTTAACCTGGTGCAGAGTCTTCTCCCTATTAGCAACTCTGCTGGAGCTATCCCTGTAGTTGCATGAGGGGTGGTCACATAATCAAACAGAAACCGGGACAGTTTGGTATCTAGTGAAACTGCAGGCTATTTCTTTAAGCCTGCCTTCAAAGTTTGCAGTGCTCTTTCTGCCAGACCATTGGATGCTTGCACAGTATGGAGCTGTCCTTATTTGTCAAATACCATTTGACTTTAGAAAATACTCAAAGTCCCCGCTGTTAAACGACGGCCTGTTATCTGTGACCAACACTTCGGGACTCTGTGTATTGAAAATGATATGAGCAATTTTTCTATCATCATCCCCGTGTTTGACAAATGAATTCTATGCATGTCAAGGCACTTTGAGTGGGCATCCACAATGACTAGGAAAATTGAGCCCATGAAAGGAGCTGCGCATTTGATGTGCAACCGAGTCTGGGAATGTACCCAGCTATTCCCACGAACATGAGGAAGCCACTAGCAGTAATTTTTGTCCTTGTTAGGATGCTGGGCACTGCATCTGATCCAGGTTACCAGACATAACATCTCACCAAAATCTTCATTTTGGAGACCACTGGATGACCCTGGTGGAGTTCAGCCAGTATCTGGCAGTGACCTTTGCTCAGGACAATCACTCTTGTTTCCCATTATAACATACCGCCCTCTACTGTGATCTGGTCTCTCTAGGTCCAAAAAGGTTTCAACTCTGGTTACGGTGGCCCTTTGATTTCCCCCATCACCACCAGCTGTTTTAGTTTTGCCAGGGCTAGATCTTCCTGTATCCAAACTCTGATATTGTCAGCTGTGACTGGAAGACTATCCAGAAACTTTAAAACCATTACAGACTCTTCCAGTGGTGGTACCACCGGTGGTGTATCTGCCAGCGGGAGACAGCTCAATGCGTCCGCATTTATAACTTTTGTACTTAGTAGTGGAGCCCATAGCTGAATTCTGCCTAAAGCTAATGGGCAGGACTGACTTCTCCTCTTTAGGAAAAGTAGATCTAGCAGGGGTTTGTGATCTGTTATTATTACAAATTTACATCCATAAAAAGGTATTGGTGGAACCTCCTGACTCCCAATATGACAGCCCAACCTTCCTTCTCAATCTGGGCATATTTATGCCCTGCATTAGCCAAAGTCCTGGATGCATACGCTTATTGGGCATTCCTCTCTCTTGGGCTACCTAGGAGCTATATTACCCCGAGGCCATAGGGGGAGGTATCAAATGTTAATACCAGAACTCCCTTGGGATCATAGTGTGCCAACAACTTAGAGGACGACAGCTGTTTTTTCACTTCCCTGAAAGCTATGGATTGGCAATGAGGCTAAGGCTGACCCCTTTTTAAGAGTTGATGCAAATATGCCAATACAGAGCCCAGGTTATGTATGAACTTTTTGTAATAATTCACCAGCCCAAGGAAAGACCTAAGCTCCAGGTCGTCCTCACTTCATCTTCCATTGGGTATAACCCCCTCTTGTTGATTCTGTAGCCCAAATGGGTCATGAGGGGTGCCTGGAACACACATTTGTTTCCCCTTTTAAGGCTTACACCTGTCTGGGATAAATGTCAAAAAACTATGTCCAAAGTTCTCCAAGTGGTCCTTATTGGTCTTCCCTGTTATTAGCATGTCATCTAGATAAATGGTGACGTTAGCTAGACTGTGCAATAGCTAGACTCTCCATTGTCCACTAAAAAATTGCACAGGCTGATGATACTCCAAATAGCAGTCTTGTATATTGGTACAAATCCTTGTGGGTATTAATTATAGCATACTTCCAGGAATCCTAATCCAACCATAATTGCATCTATGCATGGCTCAAGTCGTTTCATGAAGGACAGCCCCTCTGTCAGCTTTGTGTATAAATACCCAATCCCTCACGTAGAGGATATATCCAGCTGCAAAAAGCAGTTTACCTTTGATTAAAATCCTCACAAAGGCAAACTGAAGCATTGGGCGTCACAATCAGTATGACCGGTGCTGCCCATTCCGTAAACTGGACTGGTTTGATAATTCCTTCGCTTCTGCCTCTACTTTTGCCTATACACCACTGGGCGGGCCTAGCAGAAACACAGACTTGCTTCCTGGTCAATGTGCAGGGTGGCCTCAGCTCCTCTGATAGTCCCTCGACCTTCCTGAAAAACTTCCAGGTATTTAATTAGGCCCTCACTCAGGCAGCCATTTTCTAATTGAAAAATGTTGAGCTAATCCACGTGAATCTTTCTCAATCAATATTGCCCCATCAAGCTTGGGCCTGAGCCTTTTACTACAATCAATGGTAACTGAACCAACTGCTTCTCATACAAGACCGGAACCAAAATTGTACCCTTAATCTGTAAAGGTTCCCTGGCATAGGTTCTCAGTCTAGCCAAGGCCTTGCACAACCCTAAGACAAACCTCAGGGTTGAAGTCTTAAGCAAATTTTATTAAAGACTGGTTCTGCAATCACCGAAACAGCTGCGCCACTATTGACCTTCATTAGAACTGGGTGACTATTTAGCTAGACGTTTATCTTGATTGGTTCTGATTTGGACGTTGCTAAACAATTTAACTGTTCCAAACCAGTTGTAGGTGCACTTTCCAGGGTGTACACTCTCCTGGATACCAGCCTACGAATTCTGAGCATTCTGAGGAAGGGTCACTGGACCCAAACCGCTAACTCTGCTTTTTCCTCCACAGATGCTGCCAGACCTGGAGTTTTTCCAGCAACTTTGTTTTTGTTCCTGATTTACAGCATCTGTAGTTCTCTTGGTTTTTATGAATTCTCTTACTTATTTCGGGTCTAGTGGGGCTCCTTTACTGTCTCGAGTCTGCATACCAGCAGCAACTACAATGGCTTTCCAGCCTGAATACTGAAGAAAATTTTAACCATTTGGTCGAGGCTTGGCTTTGTTTTGGGGTTTTACTGCGGGCTGACCTGGAGTCCCTCTGTTCAGGATATGTCCTGAGTGAGGCTATGCAATCGCCTGCACTCAAGTGGTGTTCCCCAAATTCAGTCAGCCCGATGAGGATGTCCACTTCCACTGGAATAACCTTTAACTCATACGCTCCACTGACTGCATTTTTCAATGTTCTAGTGCCTGTTTGAAGTCCAGTTGGGCTTCAGCTAGTAGGCACTTTTGCATAGTTACACCATTAATTCCACTCTCATTGCCACTGAAAATAACTCCACAGACACCAATATCCTGTTACCAAGTCACCCTTTATTTACACATGGAAAGTCCTTAAAATTGATCCAGCTCCCTCAGAATAAACAGCATGTCTGACACTCCTGTTCTTATCTGTCAGCCAGGGTTTCCTGATTGGGGCTGTTAATCTGGTCCAGTCAGGGAACTCATACTTTATGATGTTCACCTGCCTGACCTCATTACAATGACTACACTTGCCTTCGTTCTGGATCCCTCAATCCTTAAACAAATGAAAAAAAAAAATCAATCTCAATTTTGAAAGCTCCCAATGATCCACAGCCTCAATGAATTTTTGAGTGAGAAAAATCCAGATTTCCACAACCCTGTGAAAGATTCTGCTTCCTGACATCGCCCAAACACCTGGGCCTAACTTTAAAGATTATATATCCTTGTTCTTCACTCCCTCAACAAGCATCAACCTTCCCTACCCACTGCATCAATTCCTAACATTTTAAACATTCAATGTTTAAAACCCTAAGAGTTGTCAGTATTACCAAAAATATTGTTTGAATAAAATTGCATAGCGTCAGAAACAATCATTTTGCCAGAAAATTGTATTAAATAGGAAGATATGGATGGAACAGATCACTCTCACATACAGAAGCTGTCTTTAAAAGTTGACATGATTAAAACATGAGGGTCTCTTAGGTGACCCTTCAATTTCCCAGCTGTTAACTGTTAAAATTAAGCTTCAATCAAGCTGCTGAATCTGGATGGGCTCCTTGTTACTACACTGCCAGTGCAGTCACAATGAGCATCAGAGCTTGGTGCCAATAACTTCCAACACACAGGTAGTCCCTGATGAGAGGTAACAAAGGATGGATGAGGCACTTATGTCGCAGTCATTGAGTTTTTACAGCAGTGGAAAAAAGCCCTTTGATCCATCCTGTCTGTGCCAGTTATCAAGCTTCAACTCTAATCCTGTACACTTTATGTTTCAAGTGCTCATCCCAGAAAGATCTTTAGCAGTGGGTTGGTGGTGGTGGAAGCTGTAGGTTCTTCAGGCAATGATTTCCAGTTTGGTCTGGGGCTCAATGTTGAGTACAATGCGGTTCACAGTAAGTGAGCACAAAGGATAAAACACCTTGGCCATTCTATAGCACCACAAAAGGTGGTTTCAAGTTGGTAAGTGATCAGCTTCTGATGGCCAGTACTGTGAAAATAATTGGTTCAAAACTGGCATTAATTACTAATACATGTATTAATGAACCCAACAGTGTTTATTCCACAATGAACCAGATGTTTTGTAACCCAACACAAAGTGGCACCCATTCAAGCATTCTCTTAACTATGTCTTGGTGGTGACTTTGCTAGTTAAATTATAATGGTTATATCAGTTATTTTGTATCGCTGGAAGCTGGTGTTTCACAGCCCACTGCAATCCTTCTCTGCTAAACCAAACAAAGGTTTTCCCTTCTCTCTGCATTAAACACATAACTCACATTCAATTATCAATGGCTTTAATCCCACTGCTCTTTGCCTGTGGCAGGCTCCACGTCCTAAGAGAGGAAAACCAGCAGTGAAAGAGAAAGCGCCAAGCACGGCCTTAAACACAGCTGTTTCCTTGGCAGTTTGAGATGAACTCTGCTACAGTCCAAGCCAGGTACCAGGCTACGTGTAGAAGATGATTTCTGGAATCTGCCCATCTTCCACAGATGTTCCATTATTATTTCCCGGTACATTGAAGAAGACAAAGCAAGTGCTGATCCCGGTCGTGGGGGATTCGTGAATGACCTTCCGCAATCCCTTAGTGCCATAATGAGAATCAGGCCCCTAATGGAAAGCAGAGATGGAAAAGAAATGAAAACCTATTCAAAGTAACAGAATAGTATCAGTGATCCCAGGAAGTAGGATCACAGACTGTGAATAATCTGTATATTAAACATTTTACACCTCCACATTTTCCCTGTAAACATTTCCCCAATAAAATTGTACATCACTTTTAGGATGGAATTGGCCGGTATAAGCTTTGTACATTGATTACGCCCTCTCATCAGTGGCACCATAGTGTAACCGTTACTTCCATAGCTGGCCTGATAAACGTGTATAGTAGAAAAACAAGTGTAACTTCAGAGCTGGTGATATCAAAATGAGGGCTGAATGAATCCTATCCTGCCTCATTTAATTAACCCTCACCTTCTCCAATTGTTCCAGACTGTGTAGAATGCAGGAATAAATTAGTACATACAATTTAAATTGGTACTTGGTGGCATTTTAACGGGACACAAAAATATAATTTCATTTCGTGGACTTTCACCAGGTCAGGCGATGCATCTCACGAGCCACAGATCAGAAAGATCCCAAATTTCATCTGTTCTCATTGACTTGCTGACCTTAATTCATAGTGTTGGCAGTCAGCTCTGATTTCTAATGACTGCTGTGAGAGTGCAAGTACCAGTACCAGTACCAGGTAAGGATAAAGCAATGTCTGCACAGTCCAGCTTGGATCAGGCAGGCTGCAGATACTCAGCTCAGTAAAAGAGAATGGTTTGAAGTACTGGAAATCAGAATGGAACCACACAAGGACAGGATGAAAGCAGTGGAAGAGGAAGGATAAAGATTCTCACTAGTGGAATTTACTTGGGGAAGCAAAAGAAAAGAAAAGCTTCCAAATGAGAATGAGTGAAGTGTGGCAAATTCAAAGATAAATAGTCTGGAGGAGAATTAAATACCTTGAGAGTTGCACAGGCTGTGTAGCTAACATTTGGCAGAATCTCAATGGGCTCCTTGAACATGACTCTAAATGTATTTGCTGATCCATCACAGCAAAATCCTGTGTCATTTTGTCCAAGCATTATGTTCTTGTCATTTTCAATGATCTAGAAAAAAAATAGGATAAATCAATTATTTGAAAGTGACCACAAGCAACCGCTCCTTCGGGTACAGCCTCCCTGGTATATGCTGCTGTGACAGCATGAGAAAGGGTGACATAGGACCGCAAGCAGGAAAGACCCAAATGAAGAAACCTTTTTAAGAAAGGCTTTAAAAAAGAAGCTTTGATATCTTGCCTGCAGGGAGGACAGGATCTATAAATTTCTACTCATCTTGCATCATGAACTAATCAGCTCACTTAGCCATATTCCAAGCCACTGAAGTTTAGGACTTTATCCAGGTCATCTTTAGGAAGATTTAGTGAGCCAAAGTTTGTGAACAATTGAATTAGGAGCAAATGTTACTAAGTAGGTAGGTTTCATGAAAAAATTATTCCAACAACTCTAAATGGCATTTGACAAACTGAACATAGAGATGGAGCCGCGACCAAGATCTTTATACCCTCACTAGCCACCGCAGAGTCCCGGAGGACTGGCAGTAGCTAATGCTGTTCCTCTGCTCAAGAAGGGAAATAGGAATAATCCAGGCAACTGTAGACTGGTGAGTCTCATACCAGTGGTTGGGAAGCTATTGGAGATAATTCTTAGGGATAGAATTTATGCATATTTGGAAAAACATGGCCTAATTAGGTACAGTGAGCATGGCTTTGTACAGGGCAGGTCATGTCTTACTAACTTGATTGAATTTTTTGAGGAGGTGACAAAAGTGATCTATGAGGGTACAGCATTGGATGTTGTTTAGATGGATTTTAGTAAGGCTTTTGACAAAGTCCCTCATGGTAGGCTCATTCAGAAGATTAAGATGCATGGGATCCAGTGACTTGGCTGCATGGATTCAGAATTGTCTTGGCCATAGAAGGCAGAGGGTAGTGGTAAAAGGATGTTTTTCAGGCTGGAGGCCCATGATTAGGGGTGTTCTGTAGGGATCTGTACTGGGACCTCAACTGTTTCTGATTTCTATAAATGACTTAGATGAAAATGTAGAAGGGTGGGTTTGTTAAGTTTGCAGAGGATACAAAGATTGGTGGAGTTGTAGATTGTGTAGAAGGTTGTCAAAGGATACAGCGGGATATAGATCAGTTGCAGATATGGGCAGAGTTTAATCCGGGTAAGTGTGAGGTGCTGCACTTTGGGAGATCAAATGTTAAGGCAAAGTATACAGTTAGTGGCAGGACTCTGAACAGCACTGATGTACAGAAGGATCTTGGTGTTCCAGTCCATAACTCCCCTAAAGTGGCCACGCAAGTAGACAGGGTGGTAAAGAAGACATATGGCATGCTCATCTTCATTGATCGGGAATTGAGCACGAGTCAGGATGTCAAGTTGCAGCTTTGTAAGACTTTGGTTAGGCCTCACTTAGAGTATTATGTTCAATTCTGGTCGCCACATAACAGGAAAGATGTGGAGGCTTTGGAGAGGGTCCAGAAAAGATTTGCCAGGAAGTTGCCTGGATCAGAGGATACAAACTGTAAGTAGAGGCTAGAAAATCCCAGGTTGTTTTCTCATGAGCGGTGGAGGCTGAGGGGAGACTTGATAGTTTATAAAATTATGATATGCATAGATAGGATTGACAGTCAGAATCATTTTCCCAGAGTTGAAATGTCTAATACTAGGGGGCATGCATTTAAGGTGAGGGGGATAAAGTTCAAAGGGAGATGTGAGCAGGAGGTTTTTTGTTTTTACACAGCAAGTGGTAGGAGTCTGGAACACACTGCCGGGGTAGTGGTGGTGAAGGCACATACAATAGGGACATTTAAGGGACTTTTAGGCAAGCACATGAATATGCAAGGAATGGAGGGATATGGACAAGCAGAAGGGATTAGTTTAATTTGGCATCATGTTCGGCACAACATTGAGGGGTGAAGGGTCTGTTCCTGTGCGAAGTTCTATGGGCAGTGGCTTAAACCAGTGTCCACTCATTTACTGCTTTCAACTGCCAAAAACATAATGGCTCTAGTATTTCCATGCGATCTGAGAGAGAGTGAATATTGGGTGTTACATTTGCCTCCGTTTCAATAATTAATTAATTTGAAATTTGCCTAGAACATCAAGTCTCTGAATAGGGACTGCATAGATATAAAGAACGAGAATATTAGACATTAGGACAAGTTTACTTTATTCAGAAAGTGGAAAACTTTTTATACTGGAAGATAAATATTTGCTCAAGTAAACAATTGCTGTTTACTCCGTGATACACTGTAACACATAGTTAATACACAAATAACTATGACAAGTCGGAAGAAAGTTTTCCCACCTGGATATTAACCTGGTAATCTGTTGGGCCATGTATAGATCCATAGAGCCCGAAACCCACAACAGACACCCTCCTGGTCACTGAAAATCTTTGACACAAACAAAGGGAAAGTTAGCTTCCAGACTCCTTCCATATGCATATTTGCAATTTAATCTTTCCCTATTCAAAACTATCGAACTATTATTTCAATGCAGTCAGGACTCAGATGTTTGGAAAACCGACCTCCCCCAGAATACTTTATGCTGGTCAAATTAACAACACAGGCCAGGTTCTTAATCTTGGCTGGGAGTGAATGGAGACCCATCCTCACCTACAGTAACTATGGACCATTACAGTCTGGGACGCACACTAGGAAGGAAGTCTCAAAACTGATTCAAGTTACTGTCTTTTCTTGGATTCATAAATGAGATGTGGAGAGTGCCCATTAACAAAGGGTTGCCACAACAACTGGATGTTCTCTCAGCATTTACAATATCTCCAAAAAAGAAATTAAAATTCCAAAATCACAGACAGGGTCAGATTGCTCTTGCTATCTATGTCTGATGCCAGGAATCTCTCAAAGGGTAATGGAATGATAACCTGTCCTTATACAAATGCCCCAACTCCTATTCCTTCAGAGTGTTTATTAAGAATACTGTGCAGTAGCCACAAAACATTCCAAAATTCCCAGTCACATGCACACTTCCTACTCAAGTTCTTAGACTGTGCTCCCTTCAAATACCAGTTAAAATCTGTACACATTCATACATCCATTGAACCCATCAGGGAATTAAACCAAATCCTTTTGGGCCTCAGTCTAGCACACAAACCATCAGGATAAAAGGAATGCTGTGAGAAATATTCTCTGATAAACCAAGAGATTGCCAAATGAGACAAGATTCCCAGTTCAAAGATCCTTGGGCACTGACAGACCATAACATCTGCCTCTCAGAAACAGTTTACCAGAACTGAACAGTAAACTGCTCACATGTCTGTCACTGACGAACTGGTCCCAGAACAGCTTCAGTGGAGAGCAACCTAACAACAGGTGGAGAGGAGCATTGACAGTGGGAGTGGACTGGGGAAGAGCACAATGGAAGTGGCTACTTTGCCCAGTTCTTGAACCAAGACAGAAGTAGTTGGGAACTAGAACTGCGAGGGGATTGCTTTTTACAAAAGTCAGCAAGGATGTCGTATTGATTCCCAACCACCCTCCTCTGGCGATGGACCTGGGCAAACTTCTAAGAAACAATGAAACATGGTCATACTAACAGTTTACAGCATGATCCAGAATCCTACAGAGGTCTCTCCGTTCTTTGCCTGCCTTTGTTACTACACCAAAATCGGCAACATCCTCAAATCACAACAGACACAGCATCATTCACTAAAGCAGGGGAGGGATTACTGGACAGTTGAGTTGCCCAGAGCCAGACCATCCCAGGTCTTAATATCCATCCTATTTAGAATCAGCTGGTCAGAGTCAGGAGAATGATACAGGCACTACAATCAATATGTGTTATTCAGGATTTTGCTCCTGACTGAAGCCTAACAATGTATCAGAAATCAGCACGGACACAAGGTGAAGACACCATCAGTACTATGGCGGTGATCATCCCGTCCCCTTCTAGGTATTCGATCAGTAATGATTCCCGGAGCAGGAACAACCATCTACAGGAAGTGTGACTGGTGAGTCATGTGCCAACCTGATCCTGTCACTGGTGCCATTGTATCCCCAGCGACTCTCCACTTGCGGGAAGCGGCTGATGCTGCACTCCTTCCCCCGCAGACAGCAGCGTGGCCGGTCAATATACTCCACACGTGGCTTAGGATTCAAGGTGAAATGTAAGAATAGATTAACAATCTCGCGATCGGAAAGGATCCCAGATTGAGCAGGTCCTGAACAGAAGGGAAGAAGAAAAGAAAAAGTTGTGCCTTAAGATTTTTATTTTACACAATAAACCACCCATTTACTAAAGGAAAAGAATACATTCAGATTCTTACAACAGCGGCGATAGCAATTCAGTCCATCCTGCCTATATCAACTCTTTGGAAGAGCTGATACAGTATGGAGCTAGAGGAGCACAGTCATACAGCCCTGAAGAAGAGTCTAGGCCTGAAACGTCAACCTCCCTGCTCCTCTGATGCTGCCTGACCTGCTGTGTTCCTCCAGCTCCACACAATATCAACTCTGACTTCAGCATCTGCAGTTCTTGCTATCTCTTTGGAAGAGCTACTGAATTACCCTCACAGCCCCATCACTTTCCCCATTACACAGTAAATATTTTCCCCTAAAGTCTTGATCCAATTCCCTTTTGAAAGTTACTATTAAATTAATTAAATCTTTTCACAATCCCCTCACAATTCTAATTCTCAATTAACTTTGTCTCGGTTCAAGAACTGGGTAAAGTAGCCGCTTCCGTTGTTCCCTGCCCCGATCCAATTCCACTAATACTCCTCTCCACCTGTTCTTAGGTTGCTCTCCACTGAAGCTGTTCTGGGATCAGTTCGTCCATGACAGACATTTGAGCAGTTTACTTCTCAGTTCTGGTAAATTGCTCCTGACAGCAAGATTCCGATAGGCAGATGGTCTGGTCTATCAGTATCCAAGGTTCTGGGAAGTTACTGTTAAATTCATAAATGTTGATGGATTTATTTCATGCCTTATTTCTATCCATTAGTTCTCTCATTTGCTGACTTTTGTCCCCTTCCCCAAAACTAATTAACTTACTGCCCCATTGCAGTGTATTACATAGAGCAGTAGCTTTAACACCACACCCTCACGTTTCCATTCAGGTGTTTTTTGAATGCTGTCTAAAAGACAGATCTTTTTATTTCCCTATTCCATAAAAAAAATTTTAAGGCATCAAAACAACCATTTGGCCCAACTGATTTATGTTCCAGAGAAGCCTCCTCACACCCTTGTTCAACTCACCACATCACTTTATCCTACTATTCCCTTCACCTTCATGTTTGTCTGGCTTCCCCTTAAATGCATATCACCAACTCACCAATGTTCCTTCAACAGCATCTTCCAAATCCACGACCCCTACCATCCAGAAGAACAGGGCAGTAGATACATGGGAACACTTGCAAGTTCCCCTCCAAACCACTCACCACTCTTTCAGTGTTCAGTTCTGAGGAAGGGTCACCAGACCCGAAACGTTAACTCTGTTTTTTCCTTCACAGATGCTGCCAGACCTGCTGAGCTTTTCCAACAACTTTGTTTTTGTTCCTGATTTACAGCATCCACAGTTCTTTCGGTTTTTATTCTTTCAGTCTTGTTGGGTCAAGATCATGGAATTCCTCCCAAACAGCGCTGTATGTCAAAGACTACAGCAATTCAAACAGCAGTTCACCACCTTCTCCAGGGCAATTAAGGATAGACAAATAAACGCTAGCCTAGTTAACGCTGCCAACATAACATGAACGAACATAAAAGAAAATCAGATGCTACTCATCTTGTTTGAACGCAGAAACTTTGGTTCCACCTCAACATTCTAGGTAGCTACCAAATAAACAAAGCTTACTAACAAAAACTACCCAAAAATATGCACATTAGACATATCCAATATGCCAACAACCCACAGTCACTCTCAGGTACTCATTATTCAGTATATTTTCGGTGCGACCATTACTATCCTTCATCTTTCTTTACTATTTAATGATAATTCATGGATTTTGGTAAACATGCTCTCGATGGTTACAGGGTTGCTTGAACTCACTAACCGGCTGCAAATTCCTCGATACTCATCAGTGGGAACCGGATCAGCGTTATGGCTTTTCCCAACACTTTCTGCTTGCTCCCGGGAGTAACTGGCAGCTGCTGCCTCTGGCATTCTGCTTCGGCCCAGCGCACCACTCCACTAAAGAGCCGAATCTCCTGGATACTCAGGGTATCACGTTCCAACACCGCACACAATGTATCTGCACACAGAGGGAAAATATAGATAAAAGGCCCACACAACACTCACAATTGAACAAATGATGCAAGAAAACTTTGCATTTGTATTACTCTTTTCATCACTACAGGACATCTCAAAGCACTGTACAGCTGATAAAAACTGTTTGTTTGAAGTATAATCACTGCTGTATTGCAGGAAACATGCCACATATTAGCAGATAATCCATCCTTGGTGACAACAGCAAAGGAAGACAACTGACCAGGACACTAGGGAGAGCCCCCTGCTCTTTCTTCAGTAGTACGAGTGCTAGGTCAGGGTTACATTCAGCTGAAAGGGAAGGTGGGGTTCTGTTTACCATCTCATCTGAAAGATGGCTCTGACAGTGCAGCATGGGGAAAGAGAGAGATACAATTACACGTGTCAGGCCAAACCTCATACAATGATTGTCACTCAACAGCTCACCCTGCTGATGTTTTTTGTCTTTCTAAGCATCTAACCACAAAGTAAGGAGCCTGATGTTGATAAAAGTTCCCCATTCAGACCATGCCCAGTAACATTTTACAATATCAGAATATTCTGATAAATTGGACAAGTTATCCAGTGTATTACCTGGATTGTAACACCATCTCTAAAGAAACTGAACAACAAACTCTCTGAATGAACCATTGATAGCTCACACTCACCAAGATCGATATCAGTGAAGCCCTCAGCACTGATTGCATCCACAGTGTTTTTGTCAATTGTGTCCAAGCATAGGCTGGCCAGCTGAGGCTCATCAAACAAGCGTGCCTGAAACCATTTTAATAATGTGTAAAATGAGGAGAATGAAACGCACGTGTCCAAACTAATCATCACATGTCACAGAACAAACACTGGAGGGAAACTCTTGAGTAACAAATTCTAATTATAAAAACTACCCTAACCGCCTCAAACTTGTAGCAGTGAGAGGGGTGGTGTAGGGAGGTGAACAGGCTACCAGCACATGGGTAAAAACAGATATTGAACTAGAGACAGGCACATCAGGCATCAGGATTACTCACTTGAAGGCAAACTCAGCTTTCACCACAAAACAGCTACTGACTGTTCGAGTGCAGATCATATGGCTAAAGAGAACTTAATTCTCACCAGTATTCAGATTTCCATCATTGGATTGGAAGCAGCATCCCTGGATTTGTTTCCCTCTCCCTTGTGTATTGGTCAAAAGATTAAAAAGACCATTCTATCCACAGAGATCGACATGTTCATTGGTCATTTTAGGAGCTTGACAGAATAGACCCAGAGGATTGTCTCCCTCATTGGGAGTGTCTTGGTCCAGAGGGCATAATCTCAGAATAAGGGGTCACCCATTTAAGACTGTTGAGGATGAATTTCTTCTCTCAGAGGGTAATGAATCTATGGAATTCTTTATTCCAGAGGGCTTAATGACGCAATCATTAGGCAGAGAATTTTATTCAGCAAGGGAATCAAGGTTCTGGGCAAAAGGCAGGAGAGTGGAGTTGAGGATTATCAGATCAGCCACAAGCTCACTGATTGGCAGAGCAAACTCAACATGCTGAATGGCTTATTTCTGCTCCTGTATCTTATTGTGAACAGCCATAAATAATCACCTGAGTTAGTAACATGAAAGCATTGTCAGCTCGCAGGTGTTTGGTGAGAAACTCCACACAATGGGCTTCCAAGGCTGGTACTGCATATTTCTTTGCTGTGTATAGAGTAGTCATCACAGTCTCAGGACCAATTTGTACTTCATCAGAGTACAGAAACCTGCATAAAAACAACACAAATTCATTGAAAAACAGCACAGAAAGGTAAAGGAGAATAATCCATGGTTGACCTCAGTTGACAAATTCAGCTATTCTAAAATGCAAAACCCATTTCTCAACTGCTTATTGACAAGACTCTTGACATTTAATACTTCTTGGAGGTCTTCAGTTTTGAACAATTGCAGAGAAAAATCTGATTATGAGAAAATACCTGGAATGATTTATTTAAATAAAAGAGATTGTTGAAAGGTCACCGTGAAGAGTACAGATTTTTAAAACGAAACAAGGCTTCGCAAAAATTACATAACAGATGATCACTTTTGTCTGTAAATTCTGCTGGGGTTATTGGAACAGCGACTGGATGGAGTGTACTTTCGTCCTGAATTAGTTGGTGGACATTTCTGAAAAAGTGGGATTAGCATAGATAGGTTGGCACCGACTCAATAGGTCGAAGTGCCTCTTCTGTGCTGTATGACCATATGACGAGAGATCTGGGAGGAAGCTGATTCCTCCTATTTCTGAAAAATCTCTTGTTGATTTCCGGGAAAAACCTATTTGTCCTTCTGAAAAAGAGTGATTGAAGGGACTTCTCAATATTGAATGTCCTGAGCAAGTGTGTCAGAGACAACTGTGCATGATTTGAATCTCAGTGATAACAATTTACATACAACACATAATAGAATCTCTACCACAACATGGATACATGTGCAGAGAAATAATTTTCATTGTTATCATGCTTTTCAAAAATTCAGGGCATCCCAAAGTTCCTCTCTACAAAAGTTCTGTCACTGTTAGAACATGTTGGGAAAATGGTCCCCAAATATACACACAAGTTCATACAAATGTCCACTTGTAAATACGAGAGAGTCTACTTTTGTTGTTGTCAAGGGACAAATTTTGGCCTGGACACCAGCAATTGATAATGCCCGTCCTTTGAATCGTGTACATCTTCTTCAGAGGACAGATGGTAGCTCCAGTGTGCCACACCTCCCCTAAATTACTAACCCAATTGTGTACCCTACACCCTCCCCACAATCCATTCAGCACTGGTCCTCCAGTAGTACTGTCCACTCAGTACTGACACCCAATACCCCCAAACCCCAAATGGGACTGGGACATATACCACATTCCCCTACAAACATAAATACTGCTTCATCTGCCAGGATCCCTGCAAGTATTACACTCCTTTTCCTTGATTTTACAAAGCAGAGTAAACCACATTTTCTGTTTCACCTAGACTTGTTTGAAATGGAGAGTAGAGGACAAAATATCCCCATTCACATCTATCTGACTTACCCTAAATAGAACTTTCTCCCACTTTGTTTACAATCTGTCTCTGAACTCAAAAGAAAATCTCCAAAAGGTTATGAACCTGAATACACAAATGCGTAGACAACAAGGTGCAGGGCTGGATGAACACAGCAGGCCAAGCAGCTTCATAGGAGCAGAGAGGCTGACGTTTCGGGCCTAGACCCTTCATCAGGAAAGGGGGAGGGGAAGGGGGTTTTGAAATAAATAGGGAGAGAGTGGGAGGCAGATAGAAGAGGGATAGAGGAGAGGATAGGTGGAGAGGAAACAAACAGGTCGAAGAGGTGGGGATGGAGCCAGTAAAGGTGAGTGTAGGTAGGGAGTTAGGAAGGGGACAGGTCAGTCCAGGGAGGACGGACAGGTCAAGGGGGCGGGATGAGGTTGGTCGGTAGGAGATGGAGGTGCGGCTTGAGGTGGGAGGAGGGGATAGGTGGGAGGAAGAACAGGTTAGGGAGGCAGGGACGAGCTGGACTGGTTTTGGGATGCGGTAGGGGGAGGGGAGATTTTGAAGCTTGTGAAATCCACATTGATACCATTGGGCTGCAGGGTTCCCAAGCGGAATATGAGTTGCTGTTCCTGCAACCTTCGGGTGGCATTGTTGTGGCACTGCAGGAGGGCCAGGATGGACATGTCGTCTGAGGAATGGGAGGGGGAGTTGAAATGGTTCGCGACTGGGAGGCGCAGTTGTTTATTGCGAACCGAGCGTAGGTGTTCTGCAAAGCGGTCCCCGAGTCTCCGCTTGGTTTCCCCAAGTCTCCGCTTGGTTTCCCCGATGTAGAGGAAGCCACACCGGGTACTTGGCCTGCTGTGTTCATCCAGCCCTGCACCTTGTTGTCTCGGATTCTCCAGCATCTGCAGTTCCTACTATCTCTACACAAATGCGTAGTTATTTTTTGTTTTAAAAGGGGAAGCATTTGTACATATGTCATTTTAAAGCTCACCATCTTATTCCAGCCGAATCTTATATGCAAAAGCCTCCTTTAAATATTGGGTTTCCAACTGCAGCTGTTCATAATCTCTCTACCCTCATTAACCAACAAACACAATCATCCTCACCATTACCAGGATTTGGAAATCAACTGTATTATTTTTGACAATCACTCATGGAGAATCATAAAATACAGGATGAGGCTATTTGGCTCATCAGAACTGCAAGTCTCACTAATTTATCTATACTTTCCTCAAAGACTTGAAAATTCTGTCTTCACACATCTAAACAATTCAGCCCTAAACCATCTTCAATTTTTTTTTGTCATTAAATGAACAAACCGTTCCATGAAAAATTGAGAAAATATTTTTGTTACAACCACAAAGATTTTTCTCCAGGGCTTCTTGGAACAATATTCTGTAGGTTAATCTTTAATTCCTAAAGACTCCAGCACAATATGGGAGAGTTTGCTAAACCAGTTTGTTTGACCTTCAGTCGTGTCCCTTTCTCCATTCTGTAGGTGGCTTTGAAACTATCGTAAGAAGTAAGTTATTACATAATGAAAAAAAAATTGCAGAATGACTAGTCACTGCTAAGTGTACTGGATCTACCCAAGTACAAATACTTTTTAACAGAACAATTAAACCACACTATCCTTTCAGAAAAACACCTTGGTACATAATGCTAATAATTCAAAGGTTGAACATTGCATTGCTCAGTCTAATTTCAACACCGGAATTTGCTGAAACAATAATATCCCAAAGAAGTGAATCCTGCAGCCAGTCTGAACACAACATTCAATGTTTCACCTGCAATAACAGCGAAGGTTTAGCCATTTTAAAATTAAAATTCTGAGCCACACTGAAGCTGTAACGAGACTTTTGTATTTGTGTTGGCGCCGCGGTATTAATAAAGTTAGTGTGAGGAATATTCAGCGATTATTAACAATAAAAAGAGACGGGGCACTGCCAGGGCCACAGCTCATCTTCATGACACTCCGGTTTAATCAGTGAAAATAAAAGTAAATTATGGACGATGCCCCTTTTTTTTTTACTGTTAATAATTATTGAATAATAAAATAAATGAATAATTTTTTTTTGAAGCAGTCACACTAACCAGAGGCAGTTTTATGAAAAATCCCATCAATCTGTGAGGAGACCTGGTGCCTGCGATACTCAGATTGTTATAAATGTTAGAGCACAACAAACTGTCTACATTTAGGGACACTCGCGGAGTTTATTAATAGTCAATAATTCTATTAATAAACAAACTGCACCCAGCTGTCATTTCATCTTTACACAGAAACAGTGGTTATTTATAATAAATATAGTCCTCCGTTAGGAATATTCTTTGCATCGACGCAATCCGTCAGCGAGAATCGCAGTTTTTATGAAGTATTTATTTGTTTGTAGGCCGCAGCCCCGGGCTCGAGTTGCTCTCCTCACCTGAGCAGCGCCAGGAAGGCGGCGGGTTCGACGTCAGGCAGCTCGATCTCCGCCGAGCTGGTGGCCATGCCGCCGTTAAACATGGCGTCAAAGACGGCGCTGCCGACGGCGAGGACGAAGCGGTGAGCGGGAAGGCGGCGGGCGCCGGGACCTTTACCCACCGCGAAATGAACGTCACTCAGCAGCTCGTTGTTGAACATGAAGGAGAAGCGCTCCCGCACCGAGCGCTGTGCTGCCTGCCAGTTATACAGCGGCGGGGCTGGGGAAGGGGCCAGGAACTGGGCCCGAGGCCCCGGGCCCACTGCCGGATCCACCGGCCGAGCACCGCTCTCTCCCGGCCTGAACCGCGGCCTCGCCGCCGCTGTGTCCTCACCCTCCGCCTCAGCCATTTTCACAGCGCAGCCCAGGGTGGGGCCGCGGGTAAGACCCGCACCAAACACCCAGACGCAGACCCACACACTCACTGACACACCCCCCCAGACGCAGACCCACACACTCACTGACCCAGGCCCAGATGCAGACCACACACACTGACCCAGACCCTCAGATGCAGACCCACACACACACACAGACACCCAGACCCAGACCGACACACACACTGACACAGACACAGACCCACACCCCTGCACAAAACCCACACACACTCCCAGACAAATCCAGACACAGACACACACACACCCCCAGACACAGACTTATATATATCCAGACACTGACATGTAAACAGACTCCCAGATACATACAGAAACCCACACACACACTCAGACAGACATCCACACACACTGATACACACTTTCAGACACTGACACAGGCAGGCATTGACCCAGACAAAGAGCTACACAGACACCCTAGATACAGACCACACCCAGACACATGCAGTCAGGCACTGACACACACATATACACACAGACAGACACCCAGACACGCAGACAGACATGTAGATATACACAGAAACTGACACACAGGGACCAACACACACAAGCCCACACATAAACATGCACAGACAAATAAACCCAGACACACACACATATGTACACAGACCCGCTGACACATACAGACTCAGACCTCCACGCAGACACTTACACATACCCAGACAAACCTCCACACACAAACACACAACCATCCCCAAATGTACAAACATGCAGACAAACACATACACATCCCCTGACACACACTACCAGACACTAACACACAGACCCGTCCAGACACACACCCAAACTTCAATACACATATACAGATACCCAGACATAGACACATGCACATACACAAACACAATCACCTCCAAACATGACCATCATTAAACATACACACACACTTACATACACAGATAGATGCAACCACCCCAAACACGCACACCCAACCCCCAAAAACAACTACACCGCATGCACACACAGACACTGTCCTCCCTTACAACCACCCACACACTTCTCAACATACCTCCCAAACATGCCCCCTGCACACTGCCCAACAAACCCCAAACCATAGCTCCCCATAGCATGCCACACACAAGTGTCCCCTCGTACAGACCCCCTACAGATCTTCCCCCACAAACATAGACACTTCTGGCCAGGATCCCAATCCAGCATCTCCACTCCCACCCCTGCCTAGCCCAGCTCAATTCTCATCACCACCCTCCCCACTTGTTCACCTTTCATCCTCCACGGATCCCAATCCCCGCCCCCATTTTCCCAACCCCCCACCCCTTTCTTACCCCTTCTCCTCTCACTCGCTCCCCATCAATGCTACTCACTTCCCCCAATCTGCAATCATCTCCTCTGCACTTCACCTTCCCAAACCCCCTCACAATTGCACCTCTCTTGCAGTTTCCCAGTCTAAACCACCATTCCAATTCTACTCCGCTTCCCTACGCATCTATCACTCTCTGTGCTGCCGCCATTCCACCCCCTCCCGCCTCTAACCTACATTAAACAGTTACAATTCTAAGGTAGAGGGTACAGTTAATAAAGCACAAGTATCCTAGCGTTTATTAATAAATGACACAGAGTACAATAACAAGAACCTTCTGTTCAACCTGTATAAGATAGTTCAGCCTCAACTGGAGTATTGTGTCCAGTCTTGGTCTGATCATAACCTTGGGGGAG